ACTTATAGAACACTTGCACATCTAAGTACAAATATCAGTGACAGAAATCAAGGATAACATTTACCAAGCTCTTCCCATGGACCACACTTTGCTAATGCTTGATGGGCAGTTATTTAACCCTATAACATGTGGACTTTTTGATCCTTTTCACCCAGGAACACCTGAAGCTCAGAGAAGTCAAGTGACTTGCAGTGACAGGAATAAGATAACCATTTCCCCCCATTTTACACAGGGGTGACTGTGACTGAGGCTTAAAGCAGAGCAATGACATGCCCATGGTCACAGAAGTTGATAGCAGAGCTGGGACTAAAACCCAGGTCTCCCAACTCCTGGGCCTGTGTTCCTGCTCCAGAGCCGGCCGGACAGAACAGGCCCCAGGAAGAGTGAGGGAAGAGGAGGGTGAATTAAACATGGCCAGGCTGAGCTGGGTGGGCACTGCCTCCCCAGCTATTACCAGAAGAAGCTCAAGGAAGGCACCTGTAAGGCCCGAGAGATGGAATCGGCCATAGGCCGGCTGCGATCCCGGAAGAAGCTTCCCTACAACCTGCAGCAGGCAGACACCTTGGAAGTCCCAGAACGAAGGGTCCTCAGGATCCTGAGCCGGCTGAAGCAGCAGAGCTACGGTGAGGGCCCTGGGCATGGCGGGGCTCTGCTCTCCTGCACATCTCGCCTCGTCCCCTGGGCCCCTACAGTCAGAACCAGGCTGAGAGACATGGTTTTCCCCTTTGGGGTTAACTGTATCAGTCAATGGACTGATGGTCATTACCCCTTCTCCAGCTCGCTGACAAGGCCTTCTACTTGGACTCCTCCCAATGCCTTAGCCCTGACAACAGGTTGGTCCCAAGAGCCGGGTGATCAGTGCTCCCACTCATCATTGATTGAGCACCCACTGGAACCACTCACTGCACGGGGTCCTTGGCAGATATTTTAGAATGAAATCCCCATAATCACATATTTACCCTATTTTACAGATAATTGAAACTGAGTAAGTTTAAGGAACTTGTCCAAGGCCCCACATCCAATACGTCAGGGGAGTTTATACCCAGCTCTGACTACAACTCCTGTGCTCTTTTCACGGGGCAAGGTGGCCTCCCCATAATAGTAGGTACCATTAGATTCCTACTGTGTGCCAAGTGATGGGCTAGGAGCTTTTCAGAGTCTAGAGTGTGCCTACCAGACTTTGCCAGGACCCAATGCAAGACACCTGCTTTTTTCAGCTGTTATTAGCCCTCCGCAGTGCTCGGCTTTTAGCTGAATGCTTTGCATATACTATCCCTTTAATCCTCATCACCCACTGTGAGGTGGGTACCACTATCATCTCCAGCCTACATAGAGGCCTGGGGAGGTAATTTGTCCAAACCCAGCCAGCTCATGTAGCAAAGTCAGGATCTCACCTGGGTCTGCCTGCCTCCCAAGGCTGGGTGTATTCTGAAACATCCCCCTCTCTTGTCACCTCCTCCCTCGCCAGCTGCCAACCTGCAGAGCCCCTACGCCCAGGTGCCCTGCATCCCACTCTGCCCGAGGTTGGACAAGAAGATGGTAGGTCGGAACCAGTGCACCCCCACCAACCCGAGCCCTGACATCCATAGCCTCTACCTCCAGACAGGATCTCAAGGAAGCAGGTGGGTGCCCGAAGGGCTGATCCACCTCCTTCCTTCCTAGGCCCTTGGCCTGACCCAAGAACACATCCTTCTAAGAAGTGATGCCTGGGAGACTGTTGGTCCGGGGAGGAAAAGAGAAAGAAGGGGTGGGAGTGGGGGTGGGGGTGAAATGAACCTTTGTTGAAGGCCTGTGCACCAAGCGGATTATTCATGAGTCATGGTACTTACTTATGCCTTCCTATGCCTAGGACTCAGGGGTACACACAGTCTTTCTCTTAGACTGGCACTGCCTGCCTTTCTCATCAGGAGGTTAAACACCCCAGTCCTTTGCCCAAGTCTGGCTCCATGTTAGGAGCAGCAGGAAACAGGCTTAGCATCTGGGGAGAGGGAAGCGGCCCCTGCAGCATGCCCCTTCCAGCGATCTGGACTCAGAGTCAGGCCCCTGAGCCTGACTGTCCGCTCACCACTTCCCAGCGAAGGCATCCCCTCTCCTTGGGCACATGGAAATGGAACATTTCCTCCCACCCTTCTCCCTAGGGAACACAGCTCTGATGGCCGAAAGTGGCTCAGCTCTGTGCCGGCTCGCACCCACTGACCCTGCGGAGTCCTGACTCTGGACAGCTGTCTAAGCCCTGCAGGCAGATAGGTCATCGGGCAGATAGGACCGCAGCTGGATTTTGCTTTTGTGGCCTGGTAAGCCAATAAACACCAAGAACCTCAGCCTTTGTGCCTGGTGCTGGGGCCCCTGCCCTCTGGGCACTCACCTGCTTCCTGGTGCCAGGGAAGGCCCCCACCCGGGTTCTTACCCCTCCACTGGGCTCTCAGGGCCCAGGACCACAGCCTCCCTCAGGCTTGGGAATCCCTGAAGCAAGATGTACCTCAAAACCCTGCCCAGGGTTGGGGCTCTGGCTGGACGTGGCCCTGGGTGCAAAGTCTTGATCGTATGTGTACTCTCGAAGGACAAAGCTGGGATTTTCTTCAGCTGAGGTTTTCCTTTTGGATTAGGAGCCCCCCAAGGGCAGGAATTGTCTCTCCTTGCTCAAAAGGAATGGTGAACATAAGGGAGTACCTGGAAAAGACTCCACCCCGGAAAGGGGCAGACCCATGGAAGAGAGGAGGGGCCTTGCCCATGTTCCCACCAACAGAGCCACGGGGATAAGGGACCCCCTGCCCTGGGAGCCTGAGGGAGTGGATCCGAACCCCCCACCCACTCACCACCTCAGACCTACTTCTCTAACAGAGAGCGAGCCCCTCCTTGGGACTGAGCGGAGGTAGCTCCAGTGGTTAAAGCAGCAGCCACAGCAAGAAGTTAGGAGGCCAGGGACTGAAATGAGGACAAGGCTCTGACAAGTTTAAAACATGTATTTAAAATACAATTTATAAAATGCTTAATCTGCCGACTCAGGAGCCCGCGGTGCGGGGTGGGGTGGGCAGCTGCCCGCTAGATCAGCAGAGCAGGACTGCAGGGGTGCAGCCCTCCCTCCCATGCCCTTCTGTTCAGACACCCAAGGGGCCCATGTGCACCCTTGGAATCACATGGCCAGAGAACAGGACCCCAGAGGTTTCCAGAGTCTCTGCTTAGCAGGGAGGATGGGGTAGCCCTACCGGCCCATCCCTGAGCAGAGCACCCCCAGATGGGGCAGAGCAGGGTATGGCTGGGCTGGGCAGGGCAGGGCGGGGCAGTGGGCTCTGGAAGGGGTTGATGGTAGCAGATAGGGTGTTGCCTCCTGCCTGCAGGTGGGGAGCACCCTGATTGAGTGGGCTGAGAAGGGTTGGTCACCAGGCCCAGACCCCCAGCTCCTTTGGTTATAGGCTGACAACAGAGTAGTGGCTCATGGGAAGCAGTTAGCTGGAAGGTCTGAGGCCTGGCTCATGGGGTCAGGGAGGAGCTGGGGGAAGGGGACAGTACCATGAAGGCAGATAAAGGGGCAGCAGCCTCAGGTTTCTGCCCCCCATCCCCCCCTGGGGTTTTCTAAGCCAAAGCCCGCAGCTTACTTAAAAAAGTTAAAAAAAAAAAAAAAAAAGCACTTAAGGAAAGTTACAGACAGCTACCAACACACACACACACACACACACACACACACACACACACACACCCCAAACCGTTCTCCCATCTCCCTTCCCACCTCCCCCAACACAACAGTTCATTGTTTTTGTTTTTCTTTTTAAAAAATTTGCTACCTCTCCATCTGGGAAGCCAAGGAGGTACAGGCACACAGTGGGCAGAGCCCCATCTTTGGCCAGAGGAGGTGGGAGCACCAGTCCCTACTAGATCCTCAATCCACAGACACCCATCAGCCAGTCTTCCCTCCGGCTCCATTAGGGGAGGAGGCAAGAACAGGTCGTCCCAATGGCTGGGCAATCATTTCCATCTGGCCTACCTCTGGCCCTTCTCCATCTGAAAGGACAGTTTCATTCTGGGCCAGAAACCACTATTACAGGAGGGATGGACACTACATATTTAGAATGAGGAAACTTGGTCAGGGCAGTGGAACTAGAAAGACAGCAATCAACCTTCTCCCTTGCCCACACCTGGAGGTAATTCCCTGCCAGAATAGTCTACAGTCACAACTCAACCACCTGTAGGTTCTTACTGACTGAAGCTCTGTTCCAGCTCCGCTCATAGACAACTTCCTGGCTTCACACAGTTACAAAACTGTGCTGCGGACTAGTTGCTGATTCAACTGACAGCTGGCCTTTCCTTCTAAGGGCAAAATGTAGTGGGACATGGCTTGCTGAGCCTGGCCTACATTCCCACAGGGCAAGGCCAAGAGCCAGGTGAACAAAGGTAGAGTGGGACTCCAAAACCTAGCTTGCACCTTGGCCACCACAAGCTGCCCTAATCACAAAAACATCACACCCACCACTCTAAAACTCATCCACTGAGTGGGAGGCTGTCTGGCTAGCTGGGGGATAAGGCGCAGTGCAACAGGAGAGACCAGAGAAAGCCTGAGAGGGCCAGACTGTACACACACACAGCTGCTCTGGTCAGCTGCCCTCTTAGTCTCTTCCACCTCAAGGAGCCAAAGCAAATCCCTAGGCTCCAGGGACAGAGGGAAAACTGCCTTTATTCCAGGGCTTTGCTCTGGAAAAAGCGTGAAGGGCGGCCTAGGACCATGAGGAACCAGTCTGTCATCACCAATTTGCAATGCACAGCTTGTCTTTTCCCATATGTATTCAGAATGGTCTGCTCCTAAGGTAGTGATTTCACAAAGGAAATGTACCAGCTATAGTTACCGAGCTGATGCCATCCCTGGAGATGGCACTCCACACACACCTTCTGACCACACGAGGCAGGAGGCTGAGCCCTGGAGCCAGGCTCTCCTGGCTTTCCTTGTGCTGACAGCAAAATACTGAGCAAGCCTCGCATCATTGACTTCTAAGCTCAGGAGTGCAGTCTCACTCCCTGCTCTCTTCTCGAAGGAGCAAGCCTGGCTGGTAGGGAACCACCCTGAGGGGCTTGGGAAGGGAAAGTCTGTTCACTTTCCCCGTCTCCCAAAATACTAGAGGTGGGGTTGGCACCCTCCCCAGGCTCTCTGAGCCTATAGAACGAGCCCAGTCTCCAGGTAGGGCCATGATGCCCTGGGACTTAGCTGGGGGGAGGGAGGTATAGGCATGGGGTGCTCGTCTGTCCTGGCGGCTACAGAGCCCTGCCCCTTTTCTGGGCGGCAGTAGGAATACAGAAGCTAAGCTCACCAAAAACCTATTGGTTAATGTTTCTAGTACATTTCCCAGAAACATTTTTAAGTAGACTACCAAACTACCCTTTCTTAATTAAAAATTCATTAAACTGCTAAAACCCTTACCATGCACTTTTTTCTTGCAAATCAGATATTTGTATAAACAAACAAAAATAGGAAGAAAAAAAAAAAAAAAAGAAAGGATAATTTTCAAATGGAACTTGCTTTTAAGTGACGACGACATGCACTTGGGGGTGGGTGGATGGGAGTTCTCATTTGTTTTGAAATCCCAAATTAATGAGCATGATAAACTGTTATTGCTGGCACTGGCTTTACCCCAAGTGGCCAAGTGGCACTGTCTGACTCTCTACTCTTAAGTCCCCTAACCCCCATCCTTTCCCTTTCCATTGACTTGGGACAGCCCTTGTAGACATGCCAATCACAGTGGGAAAGGGGGCCAAGGGGAGGTCACAGTGCATGGGGTTCAAGGTCACAGTGGGAGGAGCAAAGGGGATCACAGTGCAAGTTAATCAGGTCCTTCCCTCTGCTCAAGTCCAGTTGTCTGCCACGGCAGTGTGACCCGTGGCGGACGACCCAGGAGGTGGTGACGGCGGCAGCATTCTTTCTTGCCCACATTTATCTGCGCTGTTTGAAGCCTTGTGACCCATCAGGACCCAAGGGCTGTCTGATCACATTATTGGGCTGCCTGCTGTCTTCGGGTTGGGAGATCCTGGTTGGCCTGAGGGAAGAAGATCAGAGGGAGGCCTGAGAAAGGGTTGAAAAGAGGACTCCAAGTCTTAAAACCAACCACCCCTGTAGCTGGGACAGAAGTCACAGCGGCTATTAGCCAACTCTGGCTCCCTGAGCTTGATTCCATGGCAAGTGGACTCAGAGCCCCTCCGGGTTGGAAAGCTCCTAAATGGGGCAGGTGGCCCACGTCCACCTCTGGCACCTGTAGCACTTGGCCCCTGGGTCTGGCTCACCATCATTCATCTGGAGGCAGGGGGAATGCTCAAGGGCCAAGCTGTCCAGAGGCAGTGACCAGGGACAGTACACTCCCCTCCCCCCAGAAAAATGAGCACCGATTTTCCAGAGCATTGGGTCAAGGTAAAGACTCCTAACCCAAAGCTCAACAGTGAGCCAGCACCTGCCATTGCTTCCCTCCTGCTTCTCTGCAAATCACATGGTTAATGGGTGACTGACATTAATGTGAAAGACTAAAGGAAATGGACGTTTTCTTTGTGCCAAGTGAACAGTTAGAGGAGAGACAATGGAGCCTCAGGATAGAAAGAAGGTACACAGATTAGTTCAACTGCCAGATTATCAAACCCAAGAAGGTCTCTCAAAGTTAGAAAGAGATTGTTTGAATAAATACTGCTTTATTAGGAGGTAACAAGTACAATTTCTAGGACTTCAGAGAAACCATCATGGGTTATTATGAGGACCAGAAGATAACAAACACGGAACTGGGCACTTTCCATTGTGCCAGGCAGGGTTCTCAGAACCCTATGCTCATTTAATTGCACAACAATGTGCAGGTACTATCATTATTCCATTTTCCAGATTAGCCTATGAAGACACAGAGATCAAGCAGTTCTAAAGTAAGTAGAAGTGGCAGATTTTGACTCCAAGTCCTTGCCTTTAACCTCCATACCACATTGTCCCCTGGTGTCTGCCAGCGAACCACCACATCCTCAAATCTTGCAGAATATAGTAAGGCAGCCAGTGCAGCACAATGAACTGGCTCAATGGGCTGGTGGACAGCTAGAGCTGCAACGGTTCCAGCCCTGATTCTGCTTGCTTTATTCATCTACTTGCAGCTAAGCTCCTTTCTCCTCTTCCTTCCCCTCCTCCTCCTCCTCCTCCTCCTCCTCCTCCTTCTCGTGGCCTGGTGGGATGGTCCACAGTCAGCCCTGCCAGCTACACTCACCTGTCGAGGATGGGTTTCTCTTGTTCCTCCTCGGGGCTGGCGCTGCCCAGGATCCGCTTCCGGGCTTCTGCGTACTCTGCCTCCCGCTGTGCTAGGGACTTGACCGGAAGGGCTGGCCTGCTGGTGGAGTTGGGGCTGCTGACCACACCGTTGCTGGTGGGCCTCTTGAGGATGCGGATCTGAGGGGGGGGACCGGTGGGAAGGCTATCGTCCTGAATCACAATGGGCACTTTGGGAGGAGATTTGGATTTCCTGCTGACAAAGAGCAAACACAGCTTCACAACTCCTATTCTTGATTGAAGAGGCCCCATCCATGTCCCACACCCACCCCATCACTTTCCTCCTCCTACACCTCCTTTTCCACCCCCCACCCCGTTTTTTATTTTTTATTTTTACTTTTTTTCACCTCCTATTTCTATTCATTATTCTCTGGTCTCTTGACCAGACATTAGAATTCTCACTCCTCAAGAAGTTTCTCAAAGAGCAACCTTGCCATAAGCTCGCACAATCCACAGGTCTGCTCCTGAGCCCTAACCCCAGGCAGAGAGGGCTGGAACACCATCTCATTTTTGTGGACTTCTATCCTTGTTCATTACAATTACATCAAAAACTACATGGTCCCTGTGGCAGAATATTTCAGGCCCAGAATCCAGTCACTTCTGTTAAAATCCCAACTTCCCTACAGAGATCAGAGTGTACCAGGCTGGTGTGGTGGGAGCCCCTCAGGCTTTGGGGTCAGCAAAATGTTTACCAGCAAGGTCTTCCAGCACGTGCTCAAACCACACTACCAAGGAGCCCGCTCCGCCATCCCTGCCTGGCACGGAGACAGGATTTACCAAACTGCCTCAGCCTTCTGGTAAGTGACTCGTGCCTCCCAAAGACAAGCTAACACCAAACAACTGGATCACCTCTTCAGAAGGCTTCTGAGCAGAGACACCTCCCTCACCAGGGCTCTGGTATGCTGCACGCGGCGGGGTTGGGGTGAAGGACGATCCTAGAAACAGTGCTTGGCAGTGCTCAAAGGGGAGGCATTGTCCAAGGCTGGTGGATGTGCACATCAGGCGATGTGTCCACAAGGAGAGGAGGAAAACAACAAGGAAGGAAAAGAAACAAAAGCCACAGGGGAAAAGGGATCCAAGCAGGAATGGCCACCCCTTAACAGCCACAAAGATCCTCCCCAGAGCAGTCAACTGGCTTCTTCTCTTCAGAACCAAACAGCCCACGGGGGGCAGTCAGTAGACTCTTGATTGTCAGGAGGGGTAGGCACTGGAGGAACTCAGCTGCTGTCAGGGGAACTAAAATAAGTCCTGGCAGGACAGGAATGGCAAGGCCAGGGGACTGTAGCCAGGTGTTAGTGTAGTTGCTGAGATGAGCAGACGGACAGGAGCCAGCAATCTGATCTGAGGGGAAGGGGACCAGGGAAGCTGGTGGGAAGGCAGGTGGGCACTCCAGGGGGGTTCCCCGGGGAACATCTTGTAGCCCATTAGGCAAGTCCAGAGAGGCCCTCTCTACCTCCTTCCTGTCACGTGTCCCTGTGGGAAGCTGGCAGGTTACCTAAGCCCAAAGACAGACTGCTGAAGTCCACCTTCACCTGCTTTGAAAACCCACTGCCCTTGCTTTGAAGCTGGGCGATGAAGCTATTCTTTAAGGTCTAAGAAGTCCAAAGAATCTTTCCTTCCAGGATACCCCCGTAATGCCCCGAGCCAGCAAGTTACAGAAGGCCCAGAGAGATCATCTGCCCAACCTCCTTATGGCAGAGAGAAAGAAACTGATGTTCAGACTGCGGGGCAGGAGGAAGGGACAGACTTGTCCCAAACACCAGAGCAATTGGGAGCAGAGCCAGGCCTAAACCCAAGTCTTCTGACTTGTCACCTCCCCACTTCCATCAAAACCTCAAGCCACCGTATCCTTGAGGGAAGGATTCACTGTCCATGAGCCTGACCTGCTAACCCTAAGAGCCAGCTGGAGACCACCACTGACTGCCCAGCTCTCAATGCAGAGAGCATGAGTCCTCAGACCAGACAGTAGCCTTACCTCTCCTTTTGTGTGATCTTCAGTTTTTTTTCCAACCGTCTGTCTATTTCCTAGAGGAAAAAGATGTATATAAAAAGTGGAAAAAATCTCTCTCAAATAAAAACTTATGCCTTTATTTTCAGAGCTAAGGGCAGTGTCCTCTGGCCAGGGACATAATTATGTCCTTCGAAATAATGGATGGGGAGCTCCCTTTACTAAACTCGGGTTTGGGGACCTGACTCTCTCCATTCCCACAGCTGCAGATCGTTCTAGACCTCGTTATTCAGCTGGGTTCTTTGCATTGCCTCCAACTGGTCTAACCTCCCAGTTGTCCTTCACAGAGCCACTCAAGTCAACTTTCTAAACACGTCTGATTGTGTCACTTCCCCACTTAAAATACTTCAACTACTTGACCGATCAAGTCCAGGCTCCTAAGCACACCTCACCCACACCTTTTATCTTTTGTTCCTTTTTCACACCACAGCAAAGCTGAGCTCTTCCAACCCCCAGGTCCTAGGGTGCTGGTCCACCTGCCTGCAATGTCCTCCCCCTTACAAACTTCTTTTTATCCTGCAAAACCCAGCTTGGCTGTCCCCCTCTCCTTTGTACGGTCTCTGATCCCATATAGTTAAATTGCCTGCTCCTCAGAGGTAAGTTCTCCCTTTTTTATTCCTTCGTGTATCTCATTTTGTTATTATTTTCACTGTCATGGATTTGAATGATCTGTAATTAGCACCTAACAAAAGGCCTGGAACAAAACAGAAGCGTAAAGTCCGTGGAACTCAATGGCAGTCTCAAGCCCCGGACCCTCAGCACCAGGAACCCCATGAAGCCTACACACACTGGAAGCTGTGGAAAGAGCAGAGATCAGATGTCCAGGCTCCTTGGATGATCCGCTGCTTTTTCTTACAAAACGTCCCAACTAAACTATCTTCAGTGGGGGCAAGACCACAGATATTGGAGAGGGAAGAAACTGTATGCAAAATGATGTATTTCTCTGGAGAGAAGATCTGTAACAGTAATTCTCCACCGAGGTTGATAGTGCCCATCAAGGGACATTTGGCAATGTCTAGAGACATTTTGGGTTGTCACTGTGAGAAGGGAGGTACCTCTGGCATCTAGTGGATAGAGGCTAGGGATGCTGTTAAAATCCTATAATAGAGAGAACAGCCCCCACAGCAAAGAATTACCTGGTCCCAAATGTCAGTGCTGAGTACCATAAACCCTAACTTATAAGATACATGGGCTTTTCAAAGGCGTGTATTACTTACAAAATTTAAGAATCACTGCCTTAGTATAAAGTCTTTGAAATTTGGTGAGATCACCTCAGGGCCCAGTGAATGGCCCGTATGCTCTATATGTCCTGAGAATGACTGTATTCTGCAGTTACGGGAGCAGTTCAAGCTGGTTAACTGTATGGTTCAAATCTTCTAAATTCTTACTAGTTTGTTTGAACTTCGGACTATGGAAGAACCAGGAATTATTCTTTCTAGTAAATTAAACAGTTTATTATTATGAAGGGATCATTTTTTGCCTTAAAATCTATTGTTTAGGCCTAGGCTCATTGACCCGATCGATACACCAATGTTGCAGGCTCGACCCCCACTTATTTATGAATACATAAATAAGTGGAACAACAAGTCAATGTTTCTCTCTCTAAAAATAAATAAATATTGTTTAATATCAATAAAGCTATGCCCATTTTCTTTTGTTTAGTATTCCCCTGAAACATGTGTTTCTCTTTTAGTTTTCATCTTTCCAATGTCCTTATTCTTGTCTCCTATGAACAACATGAACCTAGACTTAAATCCAATCTGACAATGATACTCATTTTGATTGGTGTTGAGTTGCTTAAAATTTTTGAAAGACCCCAAATATATGTAGGCAAGCACAGCAGACTATATTCTGAGGGCACGATGAACTCTCTGGCTAGGAAAACTCTAGAATGAAAACCTCTCACTCAAACTTGTAACACAAGGTGGGTACCCAGTGACAGAATGAAAAAGGGGCGCCTAGAGTCAGGGATGACCTGGATGTTTTCTGTGAACTGACAGACACTCAAAGAAAATCTATGCCATAGCACAGTCTGTCAGAACTGTAATTCTCCTAAGTTTTTTCCCCCAAAATTAATACCAGTGATATTGCCTAAGTAAATATTGTCTCAGGTTAGTCTAATGTCCATTACCTTTTAAGGGCTTTTCAAGGCTTACCACAAATAACTTATGGTTTTAAAAGTTTCACAATGTATCATTTTGCTCCAATCTAAAAAGGACACTGCCTATTTAAGTTCCTCTACCGTAAATGCAAAGTTTTCCATCTGTGGGATTTAGATACCCTTAGATACCTTCAAACACAGTTAAAGCCAAATGCCTCCACAAGCCAGCCAAGTAATCAATCTCCACATTAGGGAGCACAGTGGGGAAGGGAAGGAGCTAGCTACAAAGGCACCAACAAGTACTCGCTCTGCTATTTTAGGAGAAACCTATCAAGATTTTTATGGGAAAGCTCTACATTTTTAAACTTTGTTACATGAACTCTTGCTTTCATATCACTGTGTGGGCCAAATAAGACATAGAGGCAAATGGGCCTAAGACATTAGCTGATTTTTTTTTTTAACTGTGGTAAAATACACATTACATTAGCTCAATTTGAGGGGCCTCATACACGTTTCCTTTCTAGGGTCCTAGGGAAATAGGGAATCTGCCCAGACCCAGGAAATGGAGCCCGGCTGGAGAAAAGCCCTTCAAGAGGGCAGATGGGCCGTGTCTAAGTAAATGTGCCTCTGTCCCCACACTAGGACATGACCAGCATTCGGCATGTAATATAAAACTATTGGCTTTAAAAACAATGCCTTATGTCAATATGATGCTTTATGGTTAGCATGCACTTCTCCAAACGCTCGTTTTCTGCTCACACCAACTCTGTGTGATAGACAAAGTGGCTTTTATGCTTGTCAGATGAGGGTAATATGGCTCAGGGAGGGCAAGGAACTAAAGTCTTTGGAGCCCTACCTGATGCTGCTGCGTACTCACAATTGCTCAAATCCATGGAAATGCTGGTAAGGCCACTGATCCCACCCCCCCTCCTCTCCCCTGAATTCCACACTGCCCCCCGGCACTCCAATAACTAACACTCCCATCAAACTCCAACCCGTCAGACAGGGCAGGTTATCAGAGCTGAGGAATTCTTCCATCAGATTAGAGTGGGATATAAACCCAACGGCTTTCGGTGGAAAGCTGATCCTGCCATCTCCAGATGGTCACTGGATACCAGTGAGCTCAGGGCGTTCCAAGCTGGAGAGGTAGTGCTCTGCCAGCAGCAGAGAGGGCACTGCCTCTCGCTCTGGAGTCTATCCACGTATCATGAGTCAGTCCATTCTCTACTTGGATAAGAACTGCTCTCAGATGTGTTCTCTGAAGAGCTGGATCCAGCTGAAACTCTCCTACAGTGTGCATTGCAAGGAGAATACCCGTCTTCTCCAGAGATGCAAACAGTCCAACGAAATTAAATAGTCCTCAATGTTTTGTGAGGAAGCATCTAGATGTGGGCCCCAACAAGGAATCTTACTATCTAAGGGCATCTTCTCCTTTTACAAGGATGCACAGAGCCCCAGCTCAAGGTCAAGGCTGCTCCTGTGTTGGAAGCTGAACCTCCATGGCTAGTGAAAGAAACCATAAGCTCAACACTCTTTGACTCTGCTCTGAGGGTCACAGGGCACAAGGCAAGTGTTAGGGCATAAGCACACCTGAGGCAAGGTGCTAAAACAGTTTGATTTCCTGTGGCTTCTCCTGGGAAGATTCTTGGTTTTTTGCCAAGTAGCGCTGAGACGCTGCAGAAGTGAAGGAGTGCTCTGTGCTTTGGTAAGTGGGTGGCCTCCTTTCTTTGGGTCAAAACCCTAAACAGAAGACCTGTTGTTATCAAACATAGGTATAGCCCCGTGGGCCTCTACAAAAATGAGAGGTGTACTTCTTGATATGAGAGGAAAAAGCGAAACCAGAGGAAAGAGTGGAGGCAGGATATCATGAAGTACCTTGTGGAGGAAAGGAGAGGCCACAGCCACAGGTGAATGAAATCAGATGTCAATATCTACAAATTCAACTCACCGGAGGAAAAAGCACAGCTCCACTGGCTGCTGGTGACCTTAGACTTGCAGTGATGATGCTTGTGTGAGCCTCTGGCAGAAAGTTAGGGGGCAGAAGCATAAGAAGGGAAGAGCAAGATAGGGGACACCTCAAACAGCCTCATTTGTAACATAGCCACCATCCTCAAGAAGAACAAAGGAGACGGAGAATAGGAATGTATCTGCAAGGGCAGGCAGATTACAATGACAGGGTCTCTCCTGTAACAGCAAGAGATGGATGCGGAAGGAAAAAAGGTAAGAAGGGGAGAGGGGATAAGAAAGGCAAAGGAGAGAATAGGCCTTGGTGCAAATTACAGCAAGCACAGCACCATCACAGATGCTCTGTCCAGATCTGAATGTTCAAGAAACAGATTTTATCAGTTCCCACAGGGGTGACGAAGCTCTGGGGAACGAATGATGCAAACTAGCCAAACTCACAAGAGACAGAGTGAACAAACCTACACCTGCACCTGTTACACTATGGGGTGGGAGTGGGTGCTGACCTGCTGCTGCCTGCTCCACATAGTGCCAAAGGAGCAAAGTCCTGCTCCACCATCACACTCCTCTCTGTAAACCAGAATCCTCTGGTCACCAATGCAACTAACAGACTTCTAAGAATCCGTCTTCTTGTAGTGAATGGAAGTCTAAGAGGCACCCCTTTTTATCAGCAATAGTTACTACGTAACTTTTCTCAGATAATTTGCCTTTGTCAGTTTGCAATTCAGAAGATGACATTTTCTGATTTTTCTCTCAAACTCAAGGAATAGGGAATCGTTTTGTGCTGTGAACCACGATGTCCCACAGGCTCATATGGCCTGGTCCAGCTCTCCCAAATTGGGAAGCACACATCTACAAGTAGGGGTTCTGCAGAAGAAACAGGAACCCTGAGAGTAGAACAAGGGTGCCTCTCAGAGCCAGAGGCTGACAGGTCCTGATGAACACAATGCCACC